CCCCCCCCACTTTTTTTTTCTTCCAGATCTCTGCAATCCTATCATTGGTTGATAAGGAATCAAATATGCAATAATTGGTTTTACCCCACTGATTCCCCAATCCTAAAAAAACCCCATCCCACGATACCCACCTGTATCTCTCTCTCCATTGCCCCAAAACACCAAGAGAAAAAACCCAGATCAAGAATTTTAAGAACCAAAAACTCAACCCAAACCCAAATAAAAACTGTGTTGTCATCAAAGAAAACAACAAGAAGGAAATCAAATCCAAATGAAAATTTTGTTTTCCTGTGGTTTTGATTTGAGTTTCAACTTTCCCTTGATTTTGGTTTCCAAGAGAAGGTCAACGAATTGTTGATGGGTTCAAGAATCTATTTTTTGTGAAAATCATTGATGAAGGAGGGTAGATGCTTGTGTTGCTATCGATTTTGGTCCTCCACAATTAGCATACAGATGTTTGAAGATATATTTGGGGTTTGGATCTTTTGTGGTTGGAGTGGATATCACAGACTGGGGGGCTGGGGTTGAGTTTTTTTTAAGATGTGGTTTGAATTTTTGTGGCTGGAGTGGAGAGCTAGGGGCTGGGTTTTTTTTTTGGTCGGAGGGGAAGAAGATGAATCGAGTTGCAGAGAAGTCGAGTTGCCAGAGAAAAGAAGAAGAATCGAGTTGCAGTACCTTAACGTATAATAGAAAGTGAGGATAACATATGTCATTTGCTAAAATGAATGGGGGTATTATAGGTATTTTGAATGTTTCATTAATTGCTCCGCATGCTTCCATCCGCAGCAGTTTTGAGAAGCACCTCTTGAGCTGCTTCTGAAATCTGCTGTGAGTCACAGCAATTTTGAAAAAAAGCAGCCTTATCTTGATTTACCAAACACTTTTTCATTCAAAACTTAAAAAATAAGCTGCTTCTTTTAAAAGTTAAGCAACCCCAAACTAAGCCTTACTCTCGTGAGACGATGTAGATCTCGTCGCGTAATACGTTTGCGCGACGAATAAGGTGTCGTCGCCATGTCAGGAGTGAGACGATTCAGGTATCGTCGCGCTTACTATGGTGAGACGAATATTTGTGCGACGAATACTTTTGCGCGACGAAGAATATATCGTCGCGCTTTCAGGAGGGAGACGATTCAGGTATCGTCGCGCTTACTATGGTGAGACGAATATTTGTGCGACGAATACTTTTGCGCGACGAAGAATATATCGTCGCGCTTTCAGGAGGGAGACGATTCAGGTATCGTCGCGCTTACTATGGTGAGACGAATATTTGTGCGACGAATACTTTTGCGCGACGAAGAATATATCGTCGCGCTTTCAGGAGGGAGACGATTCAGGTATCGTCGCGCTTACTATGGTGAGACGAATATTTGTGCGACGAATACTTTTGCGCGACGAAGAATATATCGTCGCGCTTTCAGGAGGGAGACGATTCAGGTATCGTCGCGCTTACTATGGTGAGACGAATATTTGTGCGACGAATACTTTTGCGCGACGAAGAATATATCGTCGCGCTTTCAGGAGGGAGACGATTCAGGTATCGTCGCGCTTACTATGGTGAGACGAATATTTGTGCGACGAATACTTTTGCGCGACGAAGAATATATCGTCGCGCTTTCAGGAGGGAGACGATTCAGGTATCGTCGCGCTTACTATGGTGAGACGAATATTAGTGCGACGAATACTATCCGTCGCTATGTTTGCGCGACTAAAAGTGGTCTTCGTCGCACTCTGCGCGACTCAACCATATATTTGTCGGGCAAAGTCAATCTTTACGAACTTTGCGCGACGGTTGTTTTATCCGTCACGCAAATACAATAGCGACTCGATTGTTCGTTGCGCGACTAATTATTCTCCGTCGCGCAAAAGGGTAAATGTAGTAGGGTTTGCGGTAAATAAGGAAAGAACAGTAATTGAAAATCCAAATTAATATATCGATTCTTTCCTTCTTAATAGATTTCAGATTTTAAATTTGGAATCCTTCTATTGCCGCAATGACATAAAAGAAGTTCATATAAAACAATGAAAGTAGGAGAATTATTGATGATATCTTCCCAACAAATATTTACTTGACTACTTCTTCAAAAAAAAATATATATATATATATATTTACTTGACTACTAGGTAAATATGATATAATATATCTAATTATTTGGTAAATATAAGATAATGTACCTAATTACTAGGTAAATATAACATAATGTACCTAAATACTAGGTAAATATAAGATAATGTACCTAAATACTAGGTAAATATAAGATAATGCACCTAAATACTAGGTAAATATAAGATAATGTACCTAATTACTAGGTAAATATAACATAATGTACCTAACACATAAATAGTATACTCTACTCTACCTGATAAACATGTAGATTTTAGATAAAATGTGTGGATTTGAGTGATATAACCAACAATCGTAAAACGCCACAACAAAAACATGGGAAAATAGGTAAATTTGGAAGATAATTAACTATCAAGAAACAAAGGAATCGAAAATGATGTGGGGGGAGGAGAGGGCGGGGGAGGGAAGGACCACAAAACCGCATGTGTTAATGGTTAATTGCATCTTAATTAAAGATATTATGTGTGAATGAACTTTACAGCAACAAAAAGTGAGCTAAACAAAATCAAATGTAAAACAATGAGAGTAAATTAGTGAGGAATTGTATTATCAAAGAAGAAAACAAACAAACAAAATCAGTGGATAACAAAAGCTATGGCAAATAGTAAAAGAATATTTATGTACCTTGTGTACAGGTTGCCATAATGCAAGAATACAAAGCCAAAACAGAAAGAAAGCCAACATTCATATAGGAGCATGACTGAAATATAATAGCTATTTCAAAAATTATAGGAGATGTGATTTGTTGCCTTATTTAATTATTTCAAAGATATAATAGCTAATTATTACGAGAACAATAAATTTCTTACCTTATTTAATTTTTAGGGACATGATGGGAATAACAAAGTAAATTAAAAATGAAAAAACAAATATGTAAATATCAAAAAATCAAAAAATAAATATAATCATACGTGGCAAAAAAGTGAAAGGATTCTTAAACTGGATGAGAGAAAAAATTATGGTGTTAGATCTATTTTACCAAGTATGGCTGGAGTAAGAAAACAACAATGCATAAGGATTCTGGCTTGTAACTTAAAAGTTCCTGAGGGCTAAAACAGATTTCCACACTCAATCAATTGTAAAATTAGGTGGCTACTATACTCTGAGGATGGGTGCTATATTGGCTGCTCTGGCTGCTGCAACCACCATGGGATCAAGTGATCAAAACCTTCCTCAGTTTGAAGCTAGTATAGCCGCACGGCTATACTATTTAAATACATTATATTTAAAAGGTATAGCCGCTCGGCTATACAATTAAATAAATAAAAAATTTAAGGAAAAAACACGATCTTTGTTGCATTAGTTTATACTCTAGAGATATTAATTTGCTAGTTTCAACATATCCAAAGTAGATATTAATCAGCCACTATATAATAATTTAATATATATTATTTTTATTCAATAATATGTGAGAATTATTTGTATAATACGTGAATTTTGTGTGTCTTATTGAAAATTTTGTAAAAAAATACATGTATTAAACATGAGAAATACTTACGTAGATTTACAATACGAGTATTAATTGTACATTTACTTTTAAAAAAAATGTAAATTTTTACCTAGTCTTTAAGGCATGTACAAAATATGGATGTATCATTGAAAAATACGTAAAAAGTAAAAAAATTAAACGGGTACAATAAAGACTCGGGTAATGGCCTAATAGTAGTGGACAATGTTATAAACTACTCTTATTGATAAACGAAAATCAGGGAAAAAATGTAAAAGAAAAAAAGGATCCCACTATATATATATTAATTTTGTTTTAAAAATAGAATATCTAACGGTATAGTCGTGCGGCTATACGCTATAAATACAATATAATGACTACGAGATAGAATGGATCTCCTTGAATTCATTCGAACACGACCGTCTTCCAGACCCTCTCTCTCGCTCAGACATAACCGGCGACCTCTCTTCTTCAATCCTCATCTCTCTCTCTCTCTCTCTCTCACGCTCATAGCACCATCGTCATCCTAGGAGATTCCAAAATGGCTTTTTTTTTTTTCTAGGCGCTAGCGCCTGCCTAGACCGCCTAGCGCCCGCCTAGTGACCGCCTAGCAACTGCCTAGCCTTCCTAGCTCGCCTAGCAACCACCTAGCCTGCCTAGCCCTCCTAGCCCGCCTAGCCCCAGCCTAGCCCGCCTAGC